TACAAATAAAATCCTGGTTCCACAAGCAAACTGTAAATGGGTCTGGAAATGTACAGGAACCACAGCTGACGGCGGTAGAAAAAATATGCCTACGCCTCTCGCCCCCCAAAAAACTAATCTCTGAAATCTATCAATCAACGCACGCACACACTGGCCATACCAAATTCTCTTTCACAACTGCATGGGAGAAAGAATTCAAATATAACCTAACTCCACAGCAGTGGAAAGACATCTTAAAGGCGCACAACTCCCTCTCTAAATGTGCTTCACATATGGAGCTCTCTCGCAAAATCCTATACAGGTGGTATTTAGTGCCCACTCGCATTAAAGCGGCGCACCCCCAAGCATCTGATGTATGCTGGAGATGCCAGCAGCATAAAGGCACGATGCTCCATATCTGGTGGACCTGCCCCATCCTAACCCCATTCTGGGACATAGTCTCCACCATAATTCAAGAGAGCACAAAAACTATGCTACCCAGGACACCCGAGACATACCTCCTCCAACTATTCCCAAAAAGGATGGGGTGGAAGCAAAAATACTTAATATATCAACTACTCATGGCAGCCCTCACTGTAATTAGCAGGCACTGGAAATCACCCCTACCAATGCCAACCACCGAACTCACACAATTATTAGACACCACAAGGCTATATGAAATAGCGGCCAGGCGAACCTCCCGCACAAAGAAGGTCTGGCAAGAGGCATGGGAGGAATGGCACCAATATATGGAGCGCAACAATCTCCTCCACCCCCTTCCCCCACCCCAAAAATGAATGGGAAGGAAGAAGGCTAGGACGTGCATCTGCTAACCGACAGCTGTGTTCCTAATGAGTGCACAAAGGCACAAGAATGTACAAACATGTAAAAATACGTTACTTAAAAAGGTCAATGTTAGTCACCTCAGGCCTGGGAGTGACACCTACTTCCCCGTTACCCCCCCCCCCTGTTACTTCTATAACTGTTTTCATCCTCTCCCAGTGGCACCCTAGATAGGGAATATCCGAATCACCAATGCCATATCTAGAGGAAACATGACTAAATTGTTGAACTATGTAAACTAATGTAACATGTCTCTCGAAATGGAAAATGTGAACCCAATCTGTATATGGCAGAACATACAAGCATTACTGACAACGAGGCACCACTAGTGTGCCCACACCAAAGTACAAAGATATGAATGTATACCACTGTCCTCTAACTATTGTCCTTTTCCCCTACCCCCTTTTCTTTCTGTACCCCCCCAAAAAAGATCAATAAAAATTGTCAAAGTAAAAAAAAAAAAAAAAAAAGTTTTTCGTTTTAATGTTCCCACCTTCTATAAAAAAATATTCAAATCCAAAAAAATTCTCTGTTGTACTCCAAACACTATTTAATTCTATTCCCCATGAGTGTTGTTTAAAAAGGCTTCTAATTGTGTTTCTGTGCCCTTCCATACAAAGAAAATATCATCTATGTAACAACCATAGGTCACCAAGTCTGACACCCAGCCATGCTGCCCATATACAAAAAGATTTTTAGATAAATTAGCATAGCTGGGTGCAAACTTGGTTCCCATGGCCGTTCCCTTCTCTTGAACAAAAACAATCTTCCTTATACCAAAAATAGTTATATAGTACAAGTTTTATACCTTCTATTAGAAACTCTATTTGTTCTTTTATCATATCTCCCTCAGCTTCTAAAAAGTATTTCACTGCTTCATATCCCCTCTGATGGGGAATATTACTATAGAGAGTCGAGACATCGCTAGTCACTAAAAAATATCCTTCCTGCCATTCACAGGCATTGATCAAATGTAGAGCTGCCGAAGTATCTCTAATATAAGATTTAGTTTTTTGGACAACAGGCTGCAAATTAACACACGTATAGAAGAGCACTCACGTAACATTGCAAAAGGTTTTGATAATCATAGTGTTTCGGCACATTTTTAAAACCACCATCAAAAGAACCCAATGGGACTGAAATTTATGGGCATAAAGAAATTAAAGAAAGACTGGAGAGGTGGCGATTTTAATAAAAGGATAGGGAAAATCGAATGGAGTGGATCTTTAATCTAAATACAATGATCCCCCATGGACTTAATTGCAATTTTGAAATTTGCCATTTCCTTAAATAAACATTCCTTAAATAAACTTATATATGATATATATTTTAGGTTTATTTAGTAATAACTATTCTGCACTGTATAGGTATAGGAACGACAATGTTTCTAAGTACCTGATAATATAAGATTTCAGTAGAATATATTGCACTATATAGGTGTAGGATAGACTGTCTCTAAATATTTGTTAATATATTACACATAAACATATTTCATTAATTGGTTTATAGTATTTTTATTATTAATCATTATATATTATTCTAATTATTACTATTTTATATTTAACAATATGTGTAGGCATTATAATGTCTTTTATGATGCTTTTTAAAATGTATGATTTTTATAGATCACATATGAATGTATAATTGTTTTCTATACAGTTTTTTTTATTTTTGTCCCCTCCCCCATGAGAGGGGAATTAAAGGGTTAATGGACTAATAAGATATGCACAACTGCCAAAGCACGGTGAGACGCACACGCAGTAAGTAAAGAGGAACCGGAAGTGACGTCATGCGTTCCACTGGCAGGAAATGGAGGGCGGCCGAAAGATGATATGACATGCAACTTTACTCCAGATCTTCAAGGACACTTGCACTTGCTATTTGCACTTTACTATTTAGTGCTTTTTATGGACTTTAATAGCCACCAGGCTATTGGACTTTGCTTCTTTTTACCCCTGTGTTTTTAAGAGCAGTCCTCTGTTTTTATTAGTATTTTAAGTTGAATAAATTCAATTTTAAAAAAGAAATCACCTCTTTGTTGTTCCTGAGATCTCCAGAACGACTAAAAGAAGGATAGGGATGTCCTACAAATAGTCCCACTGCGACACTCATGGGAGCCACATGATATTGTTTGGCTCCCGGCTTGTGAGTACTTGATCTTTACCATCTTCCTATTTTATTACATTTTACTGTATTACACTATATGGTTTTATGTTTTTATTTTAGGAAGCTTCTACAAGTGTGATCCACCATTGTATGTATTTTAAAATGTGATTACTGTGTGACGTAAAAATCCTCTAATGAGCTTCCTCTAGGATCTAAGAGAATTAAAAATCGTGAGCAATTCTCAGCTTTATATTATCATTTTCGGGGAACAGTGCCAAGATATTAATTTTGATATAATAAAAAAATATTAATATTTGATCATTTTTATGAAAATTTTATTTTAATATTTATCACCCCATAAATATCCTCACAATGCATGGAATAGCCTTCCAGCCGAAGTGGTAGAGGTTAACACAGTAAAGGAAGATAAGATAAGGCTAGGGATTAATGGAAGTATTTAGAAGATTGGCAGACTAGATGGCCCGAATGGTTCTTATCTGCCGTCACTTTCTATGTTTATGCGTCTAACCTTTGTTCATACTCCTACCTCTGATGCTTGCCTTACATACTTCTCTAGGGCTGCACCGTTTCTATGGAATGCCCTTCCCCTCTCTGTTAGACTTTCACCCAATCTCCAATTCTTTAAAAATTCTTTGAAAACTTACTTCTTTAGTAAAGCATATCAATTAAATGGTGAACAGCATTCCCTCCCCTTACCCTGATTCCTCTTCTGCAACTGTCATCAAAACAAAACACTAAGCCCTCAATTAATACTATCCTACCCTTACCTTTTGTCAATATACCCCACTCCCTCTAGCATGTAGGCTCATTGAGCAGGGCCCTCAATACCTCTGTTCCTGTGTGTTAAACTTGTCTGATTACAAATACGTGTCTGTTAGTCCACCCATTGTACAGCGCCGAACTTGTTGGCGCTTTATAAATAATAATAATAATAATGATAACTACAAGACTTTAGCTTAAGAGCTAAAATAGTAGGTAGCTCTTTAAATCAAAATTGGATACGGAGTAATTTAAGAATTACTATTGCTATATTAATAGTCATAATAATCATTACTATGTTAATATTTGTAAACATTTCCATAATGTTTCATAATTTTCCCTAAATATTACTTTTAATATTTTCTCCCACAAGTATGCCTACAATATCATGTGGCAATATGAATTCCACAACCATGAAAACCAGTAGTTACAACAACGTGTGTTCCATTAAGACAAGGAACATAAGGTGCTAAGAACCCTGCTCAAACTCTTGTGCGTATTGAATTCATTATTTATTTTTTATTTTTTTACATCTTCCACTCATCTTGAACTGTCAGCTCCTGTCTTTTCTACAGCAAACTGTTACTGGGGGGAGAGGGGGATTGACAGTGTGATATGTTTGTCACCATAGCTTTCTAAGGTAATTTCTCCCTTCATTTTCAGGAAATCACTCCTGCAGAGGTTCGACTACTTATTTTAGAAAATATTCTGCTTAATCCAGCATCGGATATTTACCTGCTTGTTGGGTCCTCAATACATTACAAAGTGCAAAAAATGAAGCAAGGAAAGCTCACCGGTAAGTGTTTTTTCTTTCTGATACATTCTGTCTGCATATGCCAATATCCCTCAGCAAAAAGAGAAATAGACTGCATAGTCTACCTTTTTTTTAAATTATTTTTCTCTAAATTATTTATTTTTGTTGTGCGCAGAATAACGATGCAAGCTTGCCACAAGAGCATCAGCAAGCAATGATGACAAATAATTACTTTTTTTTTTTTTTTGAGAAACATGCAGAAACAAGTTGGTTAAAGCAAGAAAAAATGTGTTATGCATTAAAGGGACACTCCAGTGCCAGGAAAACAAATAGATTTCCTGGCATTGCAGGTCCCCTCTCCTTCCCACCCCCATCCCACGTTGCTGAAGGGGTGAATTTTTTTTTATTTTTTTAAATCCCCATCTATGGAACTCTTTTTAAAGACAGATTCATAGCACCACTATATTGAGGAGCTTGCAAGGCACTTTAATAGTTTTTTTTCACAATGCTTAGGATAATAATTGACGATGAGTAATATGCATTACTACATCGTACTTGAGTCACCTTAAAAATATTAGTGTGTCGACCCACCCCCCCTTCTTTCAAATATGCAATGGAACACGCCAAGGATGTCCCCTGTCCCCAATAATATTTGCCCTGTCGCTTGAATCACTCCTACAATCCCTGAGGTCCTCCAACACAACGATAAAGGGAATACAAATCAGGAACAAAGAATATAAAACTGCAGCATACGCTGATGGCATACTACTCTCCACTCCATGCCCGCTCTCCTCTCTGCCCTGAACGACTATAGTACCATCTCAGGATACAAACTAAACATAGACAAGACCGAAACCTTACCCATTCACATCAGTCCAGCCATCCTCTTGATCTTTAAAAACACATACCCCTTCAAATTTTAAACCATGAGCATACATTACCTGGGTACCCATCTCGCGGCAGACCTCTACCAAACCTACCCACTAAACTATCAGCCTTTACTCCGCACCGCCCAACAATATTTGAAAAACTGTACTGGCATGTCCATAACTTGCCTTGGACGCTTAGCATCCATAAAAATGACTTGCTACCAAGATTTCTATATTTGTTCCAAGCTCTGCCCATACCGATTTCTGTATCGGACATCAAGCTACTACAGACATACACAGACACATTTATATGGGCCAACAACCGAGCTAGGATCACTCTTTACGTCCCGGATAGGTCGGGCAGACTAGGATTGCCCCATTTCGCTCATTACTTCCACGCAGCGCAACTAGCACAAATCCAAAACTTTAATGCTCCAATAAGGGTCAATAATTGGGTAGACTTGGAGCATGATGTTTTTGGCAGGGACTTCCCCTTATTATTCTTGTAGTTACCAGAACAAGCAAGACCTATCCCACCCCCACCACACCTTCCATTCTTACGCTGATAAAAGTTTGGGACAAGATGACAACTAAATTTCCCCTAAGGTCAACCTCTTCTCCCTTAACACCAATACACCGCAACACTACTTTTACACACTGAATGTCCCCAGCAGATTTTGCACGCTTTGAAAATAATGACCTATTACGCTTCCATTTTTTTCCCACAATCGACAGATCATACCCTTTGCAGATCTACCACAATCTACCCCCCATCACCTCTATTGACCATTTCAGATACATACAGATCAGAAGCTTCCTAACTACACCCTCCAATAAAAAGGCAGGAACTACTCCCCTCACATACTTTAAAAAAACTTGTCTACAAAGTGTCACCCAAAAAGGACTAATCTCCATTCTTTACTCCCTCATCACCCAAACACTAACAGACGGAGCCTTGCCCTACCACACATCTTGGGAGAGACACCTTGGTCCCCCATAAAAACCTTTGGACTGGGGAGCAATCTGGGTAGCCACAGCAACCATATCCATTTGTGGATAGTAGATTCCGACCTATGCTGGAAGGGCTGTGGGTCTTAAGACACCTACATCCACCTATGGTGGGAATGCACATAAATAGCACAACTGTGGACCCAAATCTCACAGCTTACTTCCAAAATCCTTCACTCTCACATTCCCCTGGACCCATGGGTATGGCTGCTATTCAAACCACTTAAAGACACACCTAGATAGCAGAATAAACTCATTACCAAAATTGCACTAGCAGCACGATGGACGATAGCGGAGAAATGGAGCAGCCAAGACATACCATCCATAGACATAGTAAAACGAAAAGGAGAAGAAGCAAAAAAAATGGACCAACCGTCAGCCTTGATACACACCACCACCAAACACTTTGACAAAATTTGTAATCCCTAGCTCTTTGAGTTCCCCTTCCACATATAGGGAGCTTCAGACGGGAAGGGGGAATAATGAAACTATTTGCGATATACCTTCTCTTGACATATTTATTTTTTCTCCCCTTCGCCCCTCTTTCTCTTGCCCCCCTTCTCTTCTCTCGCTTTCTTCTTTATTCTCCCCCCTTCCTTCCTTAACCGCCCCCATCCCCATAAGCACACTCGTAGATGGAACTATAACATTAACTGTACAACTATGAAGGACGACCATAATCTGCAGAACTCCGATCACAAAACCTTTGATCCCAGCACTTACTGTGAACAAACAAACCACTAGGCAACCCCTGGACAACCCTAAGGACCACCAGTTGCCACATTCACAATACCCGACATACCTTAATCAAGCAACACATTGCATACCCAGATATACACCCAGAACTGTGTCCCCACTCCAGGCACAGAACTCTACACAACGCATACTAGCACGGTTATTATAAAACTGTAAGCAACCCCCTCTACGTGCTTACCATCCCAGTTATTAGAGATATACTACACACTGAACAGGTCGCACCAGGTCGACAGGGTAAGCAGGGGAGAAATAATTTGTCTATTTCTTTTTTTTTTTTATTCTTTTTTTTTTCACTCTGCACGCAAGTAATACAATGAGTGGACTATCACCCTGCTATGTAAGCATACAATGGACACAGTATAGACATTGGCTTATTTATGGTAACATGCAGAGTGAGGTTTTGTATTTTAAAAACAAGATATTTCAACAAATGCTGTTCAGCAATGCAATCCCTCTGGGGCACAATAGTAAATCTCAATGTTCATTTTAAATAGTGGACTAATCTTAAATCTTGGCGCGGCGGGGTTGCCCCTCCAGGAACTAATATCTCTGTGCTGGCTGTAGCTCTATTGTGGATGTGTTGGAGCCAGCTTTAGGTGTGATATCTTGAGCATATGACCGCAAGATGTGCCGACATATTCGCATGGAGTGTAATCAGTTAAAAGTGGGGATGTATATCCACCCACTTTAACATTGCTAGGTTTTAAACACCATCAATATGTGTAAAGAAGGGAGAAAAAGAAACACCAGTTAAGCAAAATAACAGTAAGAACATTGAATGCTTGGTCACAGGTCGTGGTGGCTGAAAGTGTGACACCCTGAAGGATGAGCAAGTGCCGTCACAGCGCAAGTCACTCAAGTAGCATTCACCGCTGGTAGATTGCGTCAGGATGTCTTAGGATAAATTCAGCTAACGTAGAGGGATCTAGTTGGGACAGATTGGTATTGCTCTCCGTTTGTGTGACTGACAGGTCCAACTAACCAAAAAGAGTTAAGTTCTTGTGGGCTCCTTACCCGGTGGGTTGTCCCTTGAAAGATAAATGTGAGGAGTCGTGGCACACCCCAGCAATAGGGAATATTCTTCGATCGCAGGTGTTGTAGTTGTGGTTGGAGCCATTTTCGCTAGATGAGAGTGCTCCTCGTTAGATCACGGAACAGTGAAATTTGTGAGTCATCAGAAGACAGAGGGGATCTCCCCCGGGCTGCTGCTAATAATGTGGCCTTGTCCTGGATAGACTGAAACCGCATGAGAAGGTCCATGGTAGCTGTGAGGGGTGCGGCTGTCTGGTTTAGCAGGCTGAACAGTCCGTCCAGCGTCACAGTTTTAGCCTGTTTAGGCTGTAGCAGTGTGGCCAACAGGCACCTAATGAAATGTTGGAGATTGGGTAGTCCAATGTTGTCAAGCATCCCTCTTTAGGTTGTATTTCCGTCTGTGGTCCTCCAGGGCCTCCACTTTCTCAGCTGTGCTGATTTGCTGCTTTTGGGGGGTCTGAGACCTTCTGCTCCAGTGTGGTAGTCGAGAACTTGCTGAGGCTTCGAGGAGGGTGAGCCTTGTGGCAGCACCTTCAATGAAGCACTTGAAATATGCCATATCAGCAACCAAGTTCTACTGGAGTTCAGCAAACATGCTTTTTAATAGTTCTGCGGTGACTGAATCACAGGGTGGAGGTGGCTTGGCCTTGTGCACTGATTTCTGGCCCATTGAATCTCCTTCTCCCGGGTCAGTATAAGCTTCGTTGGAGGAGTCAAAGAATCCTTCTCCCCTTCCGGGCCATTTTCTCCCGTGTAACTTTCTGTGAATTCTGCAGGAGTTCACCTTTTTCACGGCTGGTAGGGGCTTTATCCGCCCTCAATTTCTTGTTTTTGCTGCCCATCATGGTTTCTCCGACCTGCGGAGGTAAGTGTCGAACAGAGTAATAAAGGCTACTGAAAACCTTGGGCCTAGTTATAGGATAATGTTTTAGAATTACAGAAGATAGTCATCTAATAAATAAAAGTAAATTCCTGCGTTAGTATGTGATAAAATAGTCCACTATTTAAAATGAACATTGATATAACACAGTACCTACTACTTCGTAATGGATAATATACTACCGGAATTCAATTACAGTTTTTATCAATTCTCTAGATATACATACATACATATTTTCCAATATAGCGCCTCCCTCTCCTCTTTATACGTCATTGTAAATGACGTTACAACTAAATTTGGTATTTATAAATTTAGTTTATATAAACCCAGCAATAGGGGCTAGGTTTATTTTCCTTAAAAGGCACACTATAGTCACCTAGACCACTTCAGCTCAATGAAGTGGTCTGGGTGCCAGGTCCCCCAGGTTTTAATCCTTCAGATGTAAAAGTTTCAGAGAAACTGCTATGTTTACATTGCAGGGTTAATCCAGCTTCTAGTGGCTGTCTTCCTGACAGCTGTTAGAGGCTCTTCTGTGACGCTGGATGCGAAAATCGCATTCAACGTGCAGAATGTCCATAGGAAAGCATTAATAAACCTACCCCAAAACCTAGATGCGAGGAGGGAAATTGGCAAAAGCTGACACGAATGGGAGAACCTTGTAAATGCTACAGTTCTGGTTCGACAAAAGCACCTAAAGGAATTTGAGATATTAAATGGAAAGTCAGAAGGATTATTTAAATAAGCCAAACTTCAACCAAATTACCAACCTAAAAGGACAAGTTTGTCAAAGCAGGAACAATTCCTCTGAGAAGAACATCATGATGACATAAATGTTAACTTAATGGCAGTGTGTTAGATATACCATAAATAACAAGACAAACTAGAAATAATCATATGCCATTACTGTAACCCGTAATATAATTGTAACCAGTATGGGGCACCGTGACTCAAAGTGACCAATATACATACAATCCGTCTAAACTCGTGTAAGAGGGGAATTAGTAACACCTGTCAATGGGGAAGAATCGTGCGAAAAGGCTCTGATTTCACCTAGTCGTTCGCATGTTTCAAAAATACAAATTACGAGAAGGTTCGTATGAATCAAGGTGAACGATTTCAGCATGCGAACATAGTGAAAGCAGCCGAACCCTGCTTGCGTTCGTGCAGTTGAAAGAATTGAAAGCCCGTACCCGTGGGAGCAAACTAATTTGTAC